GTGGGAGTGGAGGTTGTGAGAGTTGTGATTGTGGGAGTGGAGGTTGTGGGAGTTGTGGTTGTGGGCGTTGAGGTTGTGGGAGTGGAGGTTGTGGGAGTTGTGGTTGTGGGAGTGGAGGTTGTGGGAGTTGTGGTTGTGGGCGTTGAGGTTGTGGGAGTTGTGGTTGTGGGAGTTGTGATTGTGGGAGTGGAGGTTGTAGGAGTTGTGGTTGTGGGCGTTGAGGTTGTGGGAGTGGAGGTTGTGGGAGTTGTGGTTGTGGGAGTTGTGGTTGTGGGCGTTGAGGTTGTAGGAGTTGTGGTTGTGGGGGTTGTGATTGTGGGAGTGGAGGTTGTGGGAGTTGTGATTGTGGGCGTTGAGGTTGTGGGAGTTGTGGTTGTGGGAGTTGAGGTTGTGGGAGTTGTGATTGTGGGAGTGGAGGTTGTGGGAGTTGTGGTTGTGGGAATTGTGGTTGTGGGAGTGGTGGTTGTGGGAGTTGTCGTTGTGGGAGTGGAGGTTGTGGTTGTGGGAGTGGAGGTTGTGGGAGTTGTGATTGTGGGAGTGGAGGTTGTGGGAGTTGTGGTTGTGGGAGTTGTGATTGTGGGAGTTGTGGTGTGGGAGTTGTGGTTGTAGGAGTTGTGGTTGTGGGAGTTGTGGTTGTGGGAGTTGTCGTTGTGGGAGTGGAAGTTGTCGTTGTGGGAGTGGAGGTTGTGGGAGTTGTGATTGTGGGAGTGGAGGTTGTGGGAGTTGTGGTTGTGGGAGTTGTGATTGTGGGAGTTGTGGTTGTGGGAGTTGTGGTTGTGGGAGTTGTGGTTGTGGGTGTTGAGGTTGTGGTTATGGGAGTTGTGATTGTGGGAGTGGAGGTTGTGGCAGTTGTGGTTGTGGGAGTTGTGGTTGTGGGAGAGGATGTTGTGGGAGTTGTGGTTGTGGGCGTTGAGGTTGTGGGAGTTGTGGTTGTGGGCGTTGAGGTTGTGGGAGTTGTGGTTGTGGGAGTTGTGATTGTGGGAGTGGTGGTTGTGGGAGTTGTGGTTGTAGGAATTCTGGTTGTGGGAGTTGTGGTTGTGGGAGTTGAGGTTGTGGGAGTTGTGGTTGTGGGAGTTGAGGTTGTGGGAGTTGAGGTTGTGGGAGTTGAGGTTGTGGGAGTTGTGGTTGTGGGAGTTGAGGTTGTGGGAGTTGTGGTTGTGGGAGTTGAGGTTGTGGGAGTTGAGGTTGTGGGAGTTGAGGTTGTGGGAGTTGTGGTTGTGGGAGTTGAGGTTGTGGGAGTTGTGGTTGTGGGAGCTGTGGTTGTGGGAGTTGAGGTCGTGGGAGTTGTGGTTGTGGGAGTTGAGGTTGTGGGAGTTGTGGTTGTGGGAGTTGAGGTTGTGGGAGTTGTGGTTGTGGGAGTTGAGGTTGTGGGAGTTGAGATTGTGGGAGTTGTTGTAGGAATTCTGGTTGTGGGAGTTGTGGGAGTTGAGGTTGAGGGCGTTGAGGTTGTTGTTGGTGAAGGGGTTATAGTTGCTGTTGGAGGTGAAAAAATTGTAGTTATTGGAGATGAAGGGGTTGTAGTTGTTGAAGTGGTTGTATTTGTTGTTAGTGAAGAGGTTGTAGCTGTTGTTGGAGGTGGTGTTGTAGTTGTTGGAGGTGAAGGGGTTGTAGTTACTACTGTTGAAGGTAAAGTTGCCGTAGTTGCTGTTGTTGGAGTTGACGGGTTGGGAGCTGCTGTTGGAGACGGAGGCATGGTTGTTGGGGGCGTGGGAGGCGCTCCCGTGGTTGCAGGCGGAGGAGCTGTGGGCCCTGTTGTAGCAGGCGACTCAGACCCCGTCGTTCGCGTTGGCGGAGCGGAGGCGGAGGTGGAAGAGGGCCAGGAGGCGGTGGACAAGGAGGTGGTAGACGAGGCGTTGGGAAAGAAGACATCGCGCAGGAGGCCAGTGAGGTTGGCCAGGGCGGCGTCGGCGTGGTCCAGCGAGGCGGCCACCTGGCGGAGAGTGGCCAGGTCCTGCGCGGCTGAAACACGCGGAAAAAGAAAAAGATTATCGACAGATAGATTTCAAAATGACGAAGAGGTATTTGACTCTTTGCACAAATGCCAGAAGTATTAGAAGTTATTCAGATACAGAGGAAATCTACTGCAAATTATTATATGAAAATATATATGAAAATGAGACAGCAATCATCAAGCTGCATACAGACACCGATAAAATGCCGATTCAGTTGTTAGGCAGGGCCTCACCATCCCCCCAAAGCTGTTCACAGCCTGCCTTGAGGTATCAAAATAAAGGGGGAACAGAGCATTTAAAGATTTACAGACGACTTTGTTCTCTTCAGCTAGTCAGTAAATGAGCTGCAGCAATTAGCACACGATCTGAATAGAGAAAGTCTGAACGTTGGACTTAAGATTAACCGGGAAAAAAAAAGTTCATTTCGAACAGTTACATATAAATGGGAAAGTGCAAAATGTAGTAGACGAGTACATATATCTCAGGTAACTCATGCATATAAACACATCCAGTGAAGAGGAAAAAGAGGGACACATCAGTCTAGCTGG